TCTATCAACTATTGTCCTTGTACCACAGATCTTTCAACATCACGCAAAGCTTCTAAGAACATGTTCAGAGTAAGAATGAAAAGCGTCACAAGAAAGCAATCGTTATCAGAACGAAGGAACAATGAACGAACCTGTAGAGGCGGCGGATGCTCAGGAGGCGAAGTGAAATCGAGTCTGCGAAAAAAGCCCTAATTCTAGAATCCTGAGTGATGAATTTATCAGTAGTTATGTAGCATAAATGGGCCAAACCTACGAGCTAATGTGAGTTACTATGGGCTTTAAAAGCCCATCTTCGTATCCTCTTATTAAAGAAATTTATTTGGTGATATATCATTTTTCAAATGATGGTCTTAAATCACTTGACTCGTGTTCAAAAGCTGTATTCTATTTTGTTTTACAATTGACTCGTATCTGTTATTGAAAAACAAACCAAATCTGAAGAAAATAACTTCACAAAGCCATAAATTGAGTATTTATTTTAATTGTTAGTCCTACAAGTAACGAGAAATAGCAACACAGCTAGTTTGTGTAAAAATTTCAGAGACGAAAGCCAGTCACGAACCGATCGATTCCAGCAAAATCAGAAACTATCCTCAAATCAGAGAAACAGTGTTTGAGATTACTGGTCATGTAATCTACAATCATCTTGCTTTGCTTCTCTCCATTAGTCTGCATCATTATCATCAACCAATAGGATCATATATTAGTACATTACGCAAACATTTTCGAAAATGTTAGTTGATGAAAAATGACACTATGGTAAAACTTTGCCACAGGAAACGATTGCATCTAAGACCGTGAAAAAAAGGAGGTACCTCGAAAACAAAGAAACCACCGCGTTTAAGCATCCGAGAAGCCCCGTGACAAAGATGGAGAAGACTATCAGTTCCATCTATACCACCATCCAATGCAAGTATCGGTTCGTGTTTACCAACTTCAGCTTGTAATCCTGGAATGTCATCACTTGGTATGTATGGTGGATTACTCACAAGCCCCACAAGTTTACCTTCAAGATCTTTCAGTGGCTCAAACCAAGATCCTTCTCTCACCTCAATCATCCCCTGTAATTTAGCAAAAATTTCATCACAATCACAAGAAGAAACCAAAGCTAAAGTAGAAATTTTTCAATCCAAATTCCACTGTTCTAATCTACCAAATTCTCAATCCATCACCACTTTGGTGTTGCAAGATCACAATTCCATGAACATGAAAATCTACTGACCTGAAGGCCGTATCTCTGAACATTGTGGCTAGCGACGGCGATCGCCACCGGACTGAGATCTGTAGCTACAACTTTCCCACGACTTCCCAAGACTTTAGCAATTCCGATCGCAATTGCGCCGCTTCCGGTTCCGAGATCGGCCCAAATCCCTTTCTTAAACCGATCATCTCTCGTTACCAATTCCTCCACCACATCGACGATTAGTTCCGTTTCCGGTCTCGGAATAAGAACACCTTCCTCGACGCATAAAACCAGATCTCTCCAGTGTTCGCATCCGACGACGTACTGAAACGGTCGACGCTTCTCGATCCTCTGCCTCCATAAATCGTAAAGCTCCTCTAAAGAAGCTCTCAATTTCACACTCTTCTTACCGTCGTCTTCGATTTTCCTTCTGTGAAAAATCACCAAAGGATCGTTTACGATCGTGTCTTCGATTAGCCATTTTAGCTCACGGAGGAGAGTGACAGATTCGAGGCTATCTTCAGAATTATTCGAAGTTGCTTCTATGGAAGAAGCCAGATCTTTCGCCCAGTCGTGCCATTTCCAAACCTCCGATAAAGGAGTTGCGTGCGACGGCGTTCTAAGGAAGAGCGGAGTCTTGGGAGTTTTGCTTGGTGGAGTCGATGCCGAAGCAGAATTAACCTCTAGATATAGCGCGTTTTGCGGTGGTTCTCTCGCCGGAGAAGATGAGTAGGCGACGGAGCAAAAAGGTTTAGCGGCAGAGAGGAAAGAGGTAAGCCGAATGCTCGGAAAGATTCTTATCATTTCTCAAGGTTTTTGCCGCACCCACCAGACCAATTCTCGGTTTATAAATATTCCCAACTTAACCGTAAAATTCGGTTATATAATTTCAGATATCATAAATAAACCGAGTTAGAGAAAATTGCGATTTTCAAGGAATCTAGGGGGCTAAATCATAAATAAACCAAAGTAGTATTTCTTGTTTTCGTTTTGCGGCTCTTTGCTTTTGAGACGACAGATCTTTTTCCGAGCATCAAAAACATGAGCTTGACGCTGCTTCAAGGCTATTCTTCTGCAGAAGAAGATGATGCAGAGGAGAGAACTATTGGGGATTACGAGAACTCCGACGAAGATGACGATCATGGTGTTCAGAGATACGGATCTTCTTCTTCTGTGTTCGATTTCTCTGGATCCCACTCCGCTAAAGACTCCGGTCTTCCTTCAGCGAACGATGTTTTCTCTCAGGTAATCATCATTCTCTTTGATTTGATCAATCCATAGTTTGTCGAATTTCTCTGAGTAGATTCGCTGTGAAATTGAATGATTATGGAGGAAGAAAGGTTACTTGGATCTGTAGATTTCCTGTGATTGAAATTTAGGGTTTTTCCGCCGAGAATGATATATTTCTGGATCCTAAGAGTAAGTGTAGGTTTCAGGTTGGAACATTAGAGAGATTTTCTGATAGTGAAAACTTGTTTACTTGCAAAGCTTATGGTAAATGAAGGTTTGCTGCTGTGGAAATTTTTGCAGATTTCAGGGCCACCAGAGTTTCTAAACAACCGCACAGAAGCGGATGAAGAAGCTTCAGCTAGAGATGCAGAGCACGCAAAGCGAATTAGCCGCAAAAAGAAGAAAACCAAACCAAAAGGTATCCACGACTTGTTCTCGCATCTTTGTAGCATTTTGAATTATTTATCAATATTATTTCTGCAGCCAATGCGAATTCACATCCTTACGCTCACAAGACCATGGATTAGTAACTCAGAATAAATAGATGTGAAATGCGGATTTTGCTTTAGAAGCTTGTTTTGGAACTGTAAGCATAGACATTGTGAAATAGACAGCAAAACCAGGCACTTTAGGTTGTAAGCTCTCGGTCGAAACATTACTGGTTTCGGCATATAGTTCTCTCTCAATCCAAACGCTGATGGTTTCGGCATATTGGCCCTGTAGGTGTTGTTATGGAAGCTAAACCTCAACTAGTAGGAATCCATGAGAGAGTAAGAAGTGATATCGATGCACCACCATCTTCAGAGAGTGGTGAAAAGCGGATAGCTACTGCAACCAATCCAAATGCAGAAGAAGCAGCAGATCTCTTGAGGTATGCATAACCCTTGTCTCTTCATCACTTCTTTGGTAAAATCAATTTCCACAATCCGAGGTTGATTTGGGTTTCTTTGATGAGTTTAGGATGTGTGTGCAATGCGGTGTACCAAAAACATATACAAGCGCTAGGGGAATGGTATGTCCGGTTTGTGGTGACCGGCCATTACCGGACCCAGATGCGAAGAAGAGAGGCTCTCTGATCAAAGATAAAGAGAAGAGCAAAAGAATGAGAGGACAATCCTCTCACGCTTCTTGGAAAAGTGAAACCGAGATGCAACTTAGGCAACATTTCGATTAGAATGTTTCAAAACTTTCTTTGTCCTTTTACTTAGTACTTTGTCCCATCCGATTCCAATTTCTGTAACCTAGCCTGTGACACGATGTTTAATCTTCATCTACAATTACTGAGGTTTTTATCGCTGTGGAACGCCGAGAAAAGTATCTGTGGGATCATTTCTTATAGCAGCAAATACACACCAGAACATTTTGTGGCATTAC